ACGTCAGCGTGAGTCAATTTCATTCATTCATTCACTGGCGATCAGGACGAACCGAAGAAGCAGTCGAGGAAACCGAAGAAGCCGCAGAGTCCCAAGAAGATCGCAACGCGATGAAGACCGAAGAAAAAGCAGGTAACAACGGGAGGCCCATGGCTGTCGGCCAGGGTGTGGAAATATACCGGGGTCGATCCCCGAGGCCTTATGTCCCGGGAACGTCATGGAGAACCTGGTGGAAGCTCTTCAACAACTTCCTCGTATTGAGGAAGGTGACAGAAGGGAAGGATCAGCGGCTCATTTTCCTGCAGGAGGTGGGCAACTCAATATATGAGTTGCTGGAGTCAGGGCCGTGAGCTGGAGGATGTGGAATTAAGGACCTGAGACAGGCCATGGAACGCCATTATCAGCCGAAGAAGCTGATATTAGCAGAGCGTTTCGGCCTTATGTCAAAGGTTCAGAAGTCAGGAACAGCTCTGCACGAGTATTATGCGGAGCTGCAGATGGCAGCAAATAGTTGCAGCTTTGAAGAAATCAAGGATCACAGAGATGCAGTGGTCACAATGGTTTTCATTGGAGGACTACTCTGGTCGATCGCGAGGCGCGATCGCGCACTGTGGTCGGCATTGGAAGAGATTCGGAAGGACCTCCACAAGATAGAGGGCGATGAAGATGCGAGGAGCTGTTCGGGATCTGGGGGACGCCCCAGCCGACGGCGAACATCAAGAAGCCACAACGGCTAGGCAAGACGAAGCCGCAGCCAATTAGTAAGGCGAAGGAGCCCGAATTCGGCCCGCGAGGGCTTGCGAAATGAGCCTTGAAAACCCGGTACGAGGGATGTTGACAATAAAGATGTTTGCAATAATGTTGGTATTATGGTGTTCAGAAACACTGAGGGGTGAGGAGGAGGTAAGCATACGGTTGGACCTCCTCACACCGAGGAATAACGCTTGGTACCCTGAGTGACCGTAGGGTCACTAGGGGGAGGTGTGAGGGTGTGATTGAACGTCTTAGAGAAGAGAATGAAGAGGGATCAGAAGATAGGCATGGTAGAGAGAGTGTATGTATAAAAGGGTGCTACGCTCTCGAATAGAGCATTCCATCCTCTGTGTTTGTCCGACATCGTCACGTAAGCACGTCAGCGTAAGTCAATTTCATTCACTTATAAGTATAAGTTAACAAAAAAACCCTAGTAACAGACTCGTCTGACGTGGCATCGGTCGAGGAGCGGGAGAAGTCCGCGCGAGCCGGGGACGGGGCTCTCACTATGCCATTTTGGGCGCGAGAGGGTTTCTCCTATTACTCTTGGGTAGCCGCTGGGTATTCCTAAGGGAAGAACTCTAACCATTTTTGTCGTGAATTGTGCTTTCAATTGAAGGCACAGTTCACGATCAAAATGGTTTCTGAAATTTCTCAATGGGATGAACCTGTGAGCTTTGGAATCCAAGGGACGAGGTCGAGTCGAAAAACAGTCTAGGTAGGGCGTATTAAGGACCCCAAACCGAGCTAGCCAACGCACACACCCAAAGGCGGACTAGTCCACACGGCGTTGTAGAGGCTGTGACGATTGCACCATTTGCACCGGAACACACTCATTGCATGCAGGCAACTTACTGTAAACAATGCCGCCCATTTTGGGACAGCTTACACAGATATCTCTTCCTTACACCTTTTGTCTCATTCTCGTCAACCCCTAATTTTGCTTCTTTATCAAAGCCCTATATTTCTCTAAATACGCCAATTTTTCCGTTTTTTTCTCCTTTGCTGCACTATTTTGGTCTATTACTTCACTAGTCTTGTAAAACTAGATATGTACATTAAAATTGCCGTGAACTGTGTCTTTAACGAGACGGGCTACCTCTTGCCAAAGCAGTTCCTAGTGATTGCACGAAGGTTAATGAAAGAATACACAAGCAAAAATAACCAATCGCTCATGGTAGCCGCTTCTGCATGCGGTTACTTAAAGGCACTGTTCACGAAAAAATGGTTTCGGAGAACTGCATATGGTTTGAATTCGACGCCCCCTCTGATACCATTTGTGCAGGAATGAGGTAGGAAAACGGTCTGGATAGGGCACAATAAGGGCAGGAACAGTGGGNAACAACATGAGCTGGATCTGAGGGCTCATAGTGTTAATAAATGGAAGAAGATTGTCTGGGCCCTACAAATAGCGCGAGCATTTGCGGCCTATGAGCTGCATTTTGATTGTTGCGCATCGAGGAGCACGACCCTGACCGATCCATGTCCTTCATACTATTCTATAGCCTTTAGTAATACTCGCATCTTTGTAGCATTTACATCCTAGATACGATTTATTGATATTCCTAGAACTAATCGAATTCTCATTCTTTCTCCTATTATGTCTACATATTCACCCTCCAGTATTTTAATCCGATTGGTGGGTAAGCAGCAAGCTCGGTAACGTGGGAATTGGTCTCGTTTTTTCTAGCATGATATACCCCATCTCCCTCACCACGTCTACTTGCTATATACAATATTAATTTTGTTGTTTCTTTTACAGTATCCATACTTTCATATGTACGGTTCTATCCCTCCTTAACATCGACCGCATGTGATCCCTTTTTTCTTGTGAACTTCTGCTCGTTTGAAACTTTCAGCATTAGATCGGCTCGAAAAGTGATCGAATTAGATCAGAAGAGTG